GAGGCTGACTGCTTCTACGTAGAACAGTAGAAGCCTGATTGGGTTTCAAGACAGCTACCTAGTGTGGTAGCAGCCCAAGTTGGGGATCCATGGAGAGCCCACAACCCACCAGGAGAGAAGAAGCCACAGAGCTGGCCATCTGTAGGATGGAATGTGAGAAAGCAGCTAACTCCTATGGTTTTTGGAGCCCAAAAAAACTAATGGAGTTTGCTGCAGAGAGGCTGCAACAAAAACTTAGACAGTGGGTTAGGGTCTCTGGCACACATGGGGTGGAGACTCTGGCCTTGTGGAGCTAGGGCCTGAGCCAGGGCCTGCAATGCCACAGGCAAACAGCTTTGTCATAAATGCATGCCCCACAAGTTGGATGCCAGATATTGTTCGAATCTTAGATGGTCTTTTAATAAAAAACCAAGAGCCAGATATCAGGGTGAAAGCTGAAAGATCAGAAAAATGTAACAGCCAGCAACTCATTCTTACCTCTATGAAAACCCCAGCCTAGAGAGAGTGAGTTCCTGTTTCCTCATACTTTGTATATCCTTCTCTGCCCTGACATATTAGTTCCTGGGATTAAAGACATGTGTGCTTCCTAAGCAAAGGCATAAGATCTCAAGTGCTAGGATTAAAGGTGTGTGCCTCTACTGCCTGACCTCTGTGTCTAATCTAGTGGCTTGTTCTTTTCTCTGACCCTCAGGCAAGTTTATTAGGGTACACAATATTATCACCACAATTTACTAAGCCAGAGTTGAGTAGAATTGTTTATTTGATATGTTGTCTAGGGGTGAATAGATGCTTATTGCCATCTCCCTCAGGAAAAGTCATGCAACAGCTTCTTTCTCTTTCTCATTCTTTATATCTCTAATTACACACCTTGGATGCTTAATGTTGTCCTAGGGGTCATCTTATGTTCTGTTTTCTACTTATTCCAGTGTTTCTGTTTCTTCATTTCTATCTTGAATTCTGCATTAATAGGGTTTTTCCCTTCATCATTTCATGTTTCCCTTTTCTAGTCTGGAATAAGTATACTCTGTATTCATTCTAGAAGTTGCCCTAGGAAACTAGTATGTGGTCCATTGCAGAAAGAGCTGAGAAGTCATTGCCATGATAAACAAATCAAAGCAGCTTAAAATGAAGCACTCCTCCAAATCCATCAGCCATCCTCACCAGGTTGGAGTGGGGCAGGCACACACGGGAACCCAAGGAACCCGTGAGCCACCCAGGACCATTGAAGACCTGCTCCGTAGAAATTGCTGAATTGCAGAGGCTCAAAGTAGGAAGGCCAGACAATTAAAACTTGCAGATTTTCATGCTCTTTGGAGCTTTCTCTTCATAAACCTAATAGGGTTCACACAAAGAACAAGCTCATGCTTCTGGCAGGGAAAAAGAATCTAGGCATTTAAAAATGTATCCAGATTCTTATTCTTAACAAGTTCTGTCCCCAAGAGAAGCTACTGAGGTGGAGCATACCCTACTGGGCTTTATTGGAGCCTTCATGGCAGGGGTGGGTGGGCAGGTGGGTGGGGAAAGGGAGTACCCAGCTCTAGTCCCCTGTGGTCATCCTGCCTCACCTTTGGGGAGTCAGAATCTGAGAAGCACAAGCCAGAGGCACAGGTTCCCCAAGACACAGCGCACTATAGGACATGGCCTCTCCCTGCTACTTCACTACCACGTTACAGGAGACTATTATAGGAATTCTTTCCCCCTGGTACATCACGTTCAACTCTCAACAAGACAGTTTCAAGGCATACTAAAGGGTGAGGCAAAGTGGGTACCAGAACCAGAATCAGATAGGGCATAAAGGTTGGCTTTATCAGACTGTGAATTTTAAATAACTGATTAAAATGCTAAAATGTGCCAGGCAGTGGTGGCTCACGCCTTTAATCCCTGTACTTGGGAGGCAGAGGCAGGAGGATCTCTGTGAGCTTGAGACCAGCCTGGTCTGCAGAGTGAGTTGTGGGACAGCCAAGAATACACAGACAAACACGGTCTCAAAAAAACTAAAATAAATAAATAAAATACTAAAATTATGGACTGGGAAGATGGCTCAGTCATTATAGTGCTTGCCTTGCAACCAGAAGGTCTTGAGTTCAATACCACCAAATCCACATTAAAAGCTGGGTGTTATAGCTCATGCTGTAAATCCAGCCCTGGGGAGGCAGAGATAGGCCTACTGCTGGGGCTTCCTGGGTAGTCAGACTATCCTACTTGATGAGCTCCAAGTCAGAAAGAAATCCTGTCTCAAAAAGCATGGTAGACAATGCTTTAGGAATTATTGACATCCGAGGTTGTTCACTGCCCTGTATGTGCATCTGCAAAGAAAAGAACACACACACATACACATAATGCTAAGGTGCTACCAGAACAAGACCACAGTTGGCACAAGGGGGGACAGAAAAAGAAATCTCTACTTGGGATGTTTGTACTCTATTGACCTTTGGGTATTTTAATTTATAAAAGGGTAAAGGGGAAGACAGAGAATACAGGGGGATATTTAGCAACTCCCCCACAGAGCCTTTCTACAGTGGAAAATTTTCAGCCATTGTCTTTTAAAAATTATTTCTTCTATTTTTTGAGATTATAATTACATAATTTCTCCCTTCCCTTTTCTTCCTCCAAACCCTTTCATAAGCTTCTCCTTGCTCTCTTACAAATTCATGGCTTCTTTTTGTATTAACTGTTGTTACACACACACACACACACACACACACACATGCACATATTTCTAAATATAATCTGCTCAGTCTGTATAATGCTACTTGTATATATGTTTTCTGGGCTGACCATTTGGTATTGGTTAGCCAATTGGTGTGCTCTTCCCTGGGGAAACTATTTCTTCTACTCTCAGCATTCCTTAGTGGCCAGTAGTTCTTTGACAAGTCATAAGCTGGCCTTGAACTCCTAATCCTCCTGACCTCATCTCCCAGTGTCAGAATTGCAGGTGTGTGCCACTACACTCAGCTTAAACTTTGCTTTTTTAAAGATTGATTTTAATATTTTATTTTTTGAGTAGTTTGCCTGCATGTATGTCTATGCACCACATATGTGCAGTGCCTGTGGAGGCCAAAAGAGGGCACCAAATTCCTTGGAACTAGATTTACAGATTGTTGTAAGTCACCATTTGGGTGCTAGGAACCCAACTCTGGTCCTTTACAAGAGTAACCACTGAGGCACCTCTCCAGGTCCAACTGTGCTATTTTCACTGGGCCATCATAATTGAAGTCCAGATGTACTTTCCAGACATGTCCAGAACTTCCCAGCAGCCCCATCAGTACCTGTATTCTTCCCAGAGATATGCTGGGGAACATACATGACTTCACACCTAGGCCACTCTGAATGACATTTTCAGCTTGTGGCAAGAAATTTTTAGGAGGTGACATTTTCTTTTCACTCCACTTTGACCCAAATCTAAGGTCAAGATAAGCATGCATCCTCATTTGTTTCTGTAGGGGTATTTTTCAAAGTCATCTATTGCATTTGTTTGCTGCTGTCACAAAGTACCATCTTTTTAAATTCAAGACAGGGTCTCTCTGTGTAGCCTTGCCTCTCCTGGAACTTGCTTTGTAGACCAGGCTGGCCTGGAATTCAGAGATCTACTTGCCTCTGCCTCCCAAGTGCTGGGATTTAAATTTAATGACTTAGAACAACACTTTGCCTGGGATTCTGGTCTTGGGAGGTGGAAGTGAGAGGATCAGGAATTCAAAGACATTCTCAGCCTCACAATGAATTCAGTGAATTTGAAGCCAGCCTGGGCTACATGTGATCTGCCAGAAAGAAAGAAGGGTGTTATCAGTTTTATACACCAACAGGTATGGGAAGCTACATTCCTATGGAGGCTCCTGGCTCCTAGTCCAAGGCTATGCCCCAGGCAGTTTTGGGCTGGAAGGTCCTCACTCCCCCCCCCCTCAGAACTTTTCTCTTATTTTTTCACCATCTGGTCACAGGATTATAAATTTCACCCACATTTCAGGACTTTTGGACTGGGAGTGCTACCTAAACATCTTGTTCTTAAGTCTATTGCTGCAGTTGGGATCTTGAATGTCTCTCAAAAGTCCACGTTTAAGGGCTTAGTCCCTCAGGTAGAGCTACTAGAAGTGGAGCCTGGGGGAAGGGGTATGTCTTTAGTTTGAGGTGTGTTCTTGAAGGGTCTTGAGGGACCCCAGTCCCTTCCTTTTCTTCTCTTTTCTCTCTTGATCATGAAGTATCCAATCATGTTTCATTACACACCCCCACCATTAGGTGCTGCCTAGAGTGAAGGGGCCAACAAGCGATGGCCCAGAACTCTGAAATGGGAGCCAAAAATCAATCTTTTCTCTCTGCAAGCATATTGCCTCAGGTATTCCTGTGCTGACTGGAAACCCGACTATAACAACTCAGCCTCCATTACTTTCTCCCCTATACATACTCTGTTGCTCTTTCTTCTCTTCTGCTGTATCTCTAAGCTTTGGAAACAGCTTCCCAGTTCTGCCAGCTGTAGTGTGGAGAATGCACTGGCAGTGTTGAGCGGAAGAGCCCCACCTAAAACTTACGACAATGCAGTGATGTAAGCTCTATGTAACATTTCAGATGGCCCAGTGAACACCTGTCCCAGAGTTCTCCCTGACCTTGCCTAGGCTTTTGCAGCCTCGATTCCACACTATATGATACATCCAGCTCATGTCCTTTCCCTGTTGAAGTCCTGGTCACCCTCAGCATAACAGACAGCCCACTCTTCCTCAGGGCTTGGAGCTCACTGCAACTTCATTACTTCATTTGACTCCCTCTCTAATTGTGGGACTGGCCCACACATTGTATCTCATTCCCCTCCAAACATGCAGCTTCTTCATATTTGGTTTATTGTACTCCACTCCCTGAAGTGTGTGCTGGAATAGGAGTTCAAATGGGTTTGAGTGACCAGGTAGCCAACAGGCAGTGTACACAGATGGGAAATGATGAATGGGTGAAGGGCACATTTCCCTTTCCTCTCCCTCCCTTCCCCAAGGAGCCCAAGAAACAGCACTGTTCAGTATCTTAAATAAACTGTTTATTCAGGAGGAACAATTAAAGAAAGTAATTATGAAGAAGTGGATTACAAAAACAAATAAGCACAACCTTCTCCAGGTTCAAAGACAAGATGGTCCTGCTGCCACAGGTACTGCCAGCCCTAGGCTGAATGTGTGAGTAGGCTAGTGTGCATGTGTGAACACTCACACACATACATACACACTGTTTACAAAGGGGTGTGGACTGCAATGAATGACCATGTGTGTATCTGCAGCTTAGCCCTTTCCCTGCCCCCCAAACCAACACTGGCTGTGTGAGACACACAGCAGCAAAATTGAGGCCTTCATCCTTCTCTCCCTCCCCCTCAGCTCTCACTCTGAGACCCCATCTCCTCCGGTGGCAGTTTGACCACCCTCAGTCACAAAGAGTCTCAGTGATCCTGTCAAGACATCTGGGGGAGGAGGAAAGAAACAGTCAGGGCACCAGATGTGTGGCTGGGATTCTGCCTATTGGCTCCCAGGCCCATGCCCTCCCATGAGACACTGCCCAGCAAAAAGCCACCCAGAGAGGCTGTCCCTGTGGATGCCGAGAGCAGCCATTGCGTCTCCGGGTCCACACCTTGGAGCCCCAAGAGGTCTAAGTCCTAGTCAGAGAGGCAGGAAGGAGAGTACACCAGTGAAAGTTGTAAGGCCTTTTAACACAGGTGGCCATTTGGGGACAGGGAAGGAACTATGAGCAGATCCCTGTGGCAAAGTGTGATATACTCTTCCTGAAGAGGAAACAGCAAGAAGGGACAGAGCCCAGGCAGCAGGCAGCAATCTGGAATGATCTCTTGGATAGGAAGCCCCACTCCCACCCCGAAAGAATAAAGTAACAGTCGCAGAAGAGGCAGGTTCTGGAGCATGGTCCTGCCCTAAAGCGGTGTGGGTCAGGCCTGTAGGCACAGGCCCACCCATAGGCACGTGTAATAGAATACGGGGTAGGGCAGGTCTGTTCTGTTCCTGCCTTGCTCCATCATCCCCAAGTGAGGTATTGAGCTTCCCCTCCCCCTCCCTTTCCCCCTCCCCCGCTTATGGCTGCATCCCATCCCTGCTAATACATGGGGTCATGGGTAGGGACCAGCCCAGCTGCCCCACATGGTTTTATGTGGGGTCCAGCTCAAAGACCCCATCGCTGGTAGGAGTAGTAAAGAAAGAAGGTGGGTCTGAGACAGTGGACTCTGGTCCCCCACTGCCCTGCCCCCCAGAGCGCCTCTCCTCCAGGCGCAGGCTGCGCTCGAAGTCTAGCAGCTGCCCCATGAAGTTGAAGTTGGGCGAGATGTTAGACTTCTTCCGCTTGACCAAGTCGTAGGCATCGTTGAGTGAGAGGTGGAGCTTCTGCATGAGGTAGGCCACGGTGACGGTGACAGAGCGGCTGACTCCTGCCAGGCAATGGACGAGCACCCCACAGTTCTGGGACAAGGCCTCATCTAGGTAAAGCAGTACAGAAACGTCCCCCAGTCAAAGGTCAGCGTGAGTGAGGCCAAATCCAAGTGAATTTTGGGGGGCACTATCGCAGTCTCCCCACCCCACTTTGCCCATATCTGGGAGGTTTCACTGGCAGCTGACCTTAGCTCTCCCCCCAGCTCCCCAAGTGTCTTGTGGGCTCTGGGAATGGTAGCTAAGCTGGGCAAGAGTTCCCTTACAGGAGAGGGTAAGGAGCAGCCTGGTGGGTGAGTCAGCTGGAGAGAAGACAGGGAGGATAGGGAGGACTCACCAATGAATGCAATGGCCTCCGGAAAGAACTGGGACAGGTTCTGGCTCCAGTGGTCCGAGATGGGGATCTGCTTGTAGTGGAAGTCACCATTCTTCTCAAAAAGGTTAGGGAGATTGGGGGTGACATTGAGGATATAGCGGATGCCAAGCTTAGCCAGGCTCTCCAAGTTGGCTGAATCTCGGGCACTGCCTAGGTAGAGATTGGGCAGGATCTGGACTGGGAAGGGTGGTAGCAGCCCAGTTGGAGGGGACGTGGTGCTCTCCGAATCTAGGCCATAGCTCATGGAGTCGCGGTCAGCCTCAGACTCTGCATCGGAGACATCAGAGCCCAAGCATAGGCTACCTAGCCCCACCACAGGCACTGAGCTAGGCACTGGGGCCAGGCTTGAGCCAGCATGACCACTGAAGCTGGTTTCACAAAGGTGAGGACACTCGGCCTGGAATTTGCTGAAACCACCTGTCAGGAAAGAAGCAGGGGGGGGGGGGTTGCTTTTATAGCCACCTGGGCAGCCAAGAATCCCTGGCTGGGGCTAGGCAGCTGGCCCTACGCAACCCAGGTGGCTTGCAGATATTGCCAAAGGGAATACACAAGCCAGCAGTTTCATCTATCCTGGAGCGCCACTTGTGCTGTGGACACGCATCCATCCTCACTCAGCACTTGTGGCTGTTTCTCTGGATGGTAAGTGCCACTGCAGCTGCGTGTTCTAGAGAATCCTGTGAACCAATTCTCCCCATTTCCCAGACTTATAAATGGGCTTGGAGGGATGAAGGACTTGCCCAAGGTCATGATCAGGTCTGCCTTCCCAAAAGCTGTCTGGCAGGTTATTAGGGGGGAGTCTTACCTACATTTAGACAAAATAAGATGGAGTTTGCCCAAGGATAAAGTAACTACGAAATCCCCTTGGAAGGCAGGACCTTCTCCCGACCTGAGGTAACTACAGGCGGCCTGTGCCCTCCCTCAGCCCACTGCCCCTCACCTACCCTGTAGGTAGTAGGCCAGGTAGCCTTCCTCTCGCAGCTTCTGGAGCAGAACGCCCAGCACCGAGTCAGCCTCCCACTCTTGGGCTTCGGCCTCTGCCTCTTCAGGGCGGCATCGGCTACTACCCTGGTCGTACAGAAGCACAGGAGCGGGTGGGGGAGGCTGCAGCGGTGGCCCAGGCAAGAGCGAGCGCACCGACAGGCTCCCTCTCCGGAGGCGGCGCAGCATTAGGGCGGGCAGGGCCACGCTCAACGCCCCGCAGATGCGCGCTGACTCGTACAGCTCCCGGCTGCGGCAGTCCAGCAGTAGAAGCTGTGGCCGCGGGGGCGACAGCTCCTGGCGCAGCCACAGGCATGAACGACCCAGACTCTCCATGGGTGCGCAGTGTTCTGCACTTCTGCACGTCTGGCAGCGGGTGCTGTTGAGAGACGTAGGGCACGGAGTGAGGGCAGGTTTATCTCTACTCAGGCAGTGTGGACCAGGCTACTGAGACGGGAAGTCAGCCCCTGTCCTGAGGGCAGGCGCCCAGTGTCCCTGCAGGAACATTCCTCCACCGCCTGATTCTCTCTTTGCGCTCCACCCACAGTGAGGAAACCAAGGAAGGCGCCCGAGGAAAATCACCCGAGGCCGCCGCCACTGGGGTGCTGCTCCCTGCCTCTCTTTGAAAGCTGGGTGTCTAGCGGCCTCTTGAAAGAAGGCTTTTTCTGAGGTTCTAGGAGGACTAAAGCTAGCTCCTTCACACCCCTTTTATGACTTTCTCACTTGCCGCGATCTCCATCACTCCCCAAGTTCGACTTTGGATGTGTGGAGAAATTGGGTTCAAGGCCTGGATCGCCTCTATGTCCAGAAAGAACCAGAGAACAAGAGGGTCACCGAGGTGATGGGCCTAGGCGAGTCCTGTAAGAGCTGACTCGGCCCCACTCCTCCCCACCCCAGGAGAGAACAAAAGGAGAGACCTGGAGCGAGATCCAGAGGCAGGCGGCCGCGCGTGGACGTCCTGGCCACAGCTAGTGCCACGGCAGGGCGCAGGTATCGTCCTGGAGAGGGAGTCCCCAGGCTCGGGAGTTCGGAGAGGGCGGGGTGGCGGAGCAGGCTCGCACGTGGAAGCCAAGCCTCGCGCCACTCGTGCGCTAGCCGCTTCCTGGCAGCCGGATCCAGCTTCCACCTTGGAAGCCTCAGCCTTCGGACCAACTTAGTAGCAGCTCGGAGGGGCGGGGTGGGGCGGGGCAGTGGGGCGGCGGGGCGGGCTCAGGGACCAGGCCAGCCAACCAGTGCGAGCGAAGAGCCGGGTAGGAGTTGCCAGCAGCAGGCTGAGCTAGGGCTTCCACCCAGGCGGGAAGGGGTCGGGGCAGAGGCCAAGGGCAGGTCGGGGGCCCAGCAGGGGACCAGTTGCTGTTGCCCCTGCTCGGCGCCAGTCTGGTCCCTGGAGGCAGGAAGAGGGGTGGGGACAAAAGCCCAGGGCCCCAGAACCAGAAACTGCCTCAAATAACTCACTTAATAACCCTGAACTATCAGCCCTTGTTTGGAACTAGATGGCTCCCATCTGTATAATGGGCTAATCAGAGCCATCCAATTTGGGCTACTGTGAAATGCCACTGAAATACTGAAGGCACAAGGCAGCTCCTGGGTTCCCTATTCCCATCTGGGCTTCATTTGTACAGGCCTGGCTAAAGGTACCCAGGAATTCTGAGCATCCAACTCTAAACTGGTGCACGGTGCTCTTAACACATGATGAATTCTAAAAGCCATCCCTGGCTCCTCCTCGTGGCCTTCTTCCCATAAACCCCTGGATGGATCCATATGGAGGTAAGTCATTTTACTGCAATACATCACCATCCCCATGCTCCCTCTGTCTTTTGCACAGGCCATGGCTACAAAAGTCACTGTCCCAGTTTCTAAAACTTCAGCTTGTTCTCCACCCTGCCCCATGCCAGAGCACCATTCAGTCCACAAAAGCTGGTGGCTTCCAACCAGCCCACCAGACAGGGGATGAACAGTAAAGACACACAGAGGACTCCTTTCCTGGGTCTTCCAGTCCAGCAGGACACACCAACAATACGCAAAGACACTGAACGAAATATCCAGCTATCTGGGTGATAAGTGCTGACAATGAAAGGAGAGGTAGGGGGAGGCTTCTAAAAAAGCCCCATCTGGCCATGTGTTCTTTCTCTGCTAAAAGCCCAAGAAAAGCAAATAACAGTGTTAAAGGAAAGCACACAACAGATAAGATAAAGCTCGCACAAAATAATCAAAGGGTTAAGACCCCGTAGATAAATGAGTAAGGAACTCAAGGACTGCATACTCTGCCTGAAGGAAGGAATGCGATGGGGTAAGAATATTTGGGGAAAGGTTGAAGCTCAGGCATGGAAGGAAAGCCAATTCAAAAAAAACAAGGAAATGCTTCCCAGTTACTACATTAGTAGAATGTTCTCAAAATGAGAACACCCAGTGTTAGCAAGGCTGCTGTGAAACAAGTGTGCTGTTCTCATCCTAGGGGGGATTTTGTTTTGGTAGCACCCTTTTAGAAACGAGTGTAACAAATATACAACAAGAACCAGACAAGAGCAGCGCCCATGCCTTTAGTCCCAGCACTCAGGAGACAGAAGCAAGGGGATTTCTGTGAGTTCAAGGCCAGCCTGGTCTACAGAGCAAGTTCCAGAACAGCCAGGGCTACACAGAAAAACCCTGTATGGAAAAACAAGAAGAAGAAGGAGGAGGAGGAGGAGGAGGAGGGGAAGGAACCAGACAAGAAAGCTGGGACGGGGTTGTGTTGCACACCTCTATCTCACCACTCAGGAGACAGAGATGCTTGAATCTCTGTGAGTTTGAGGACAGCCTGGTCTACAGAGCTAGTTCCAGGCTCTACTCAGAGAAACCCTGTCTCAAACTGCCTCTCAGAAAACAAAACAATAACAACAAAAAGCAATGAAAACTCCAAACAACAACAACAACAAAATAGAATCAGACAAGAAAAACCCACAGTTATGAGTTACTTCTGGGGCTTCAGCTTAAGGAATTAGACAATAAAGCAGACTGGTACACACAGAATTGGTACTGCAAAGCATTTTTCTCAGGAGTGAAAAATGGAAAGTCTCCTGAAAGAGCAACATTTAGCACCACTGCAGACCATCTATGCCTACTGAAAAGACTCTTCTCATGAGCCAGAGTCAAGATGAGATACTGTGTGAAGTGATGCTGGGGAAGAAGACAGCCATATATACTAAGGCTACCTCAGAGGGTGCTCCAGTTTTTCTCCTGTCTCCATCACTGTAGTGGACCACCAGTGAGCTCAGGTTACTGAGCTCCCACCTCACCATGTCTCTGCTTCCAATGTTGATATTCAAGGGTTCTGGGCAAATGGGGCTCTGTGGACACAGCCCAACTAAGGTCTCCTCTGTTGGCTGCTCACGTCTCAGCCCCTCTACCCTATTTGTCTTATGGGCAAGCCTGAAGGCTTCCTTCTCTATCTCCCAGTGGTTCAAAGAGGCAGCACTGTGGCATGGCTCATTTATTTTTTTCTCAACGTTCTACCTTCTCCTCCCTTATGTACTGGTTCCTCAGTATCAGAAGTGAGCATCTGGTGCTGCCTGGCCATGGGTATTCAGACTAGATCTTTCCTCCATAGCCCCACTGTACTTGCAGGTAGACCTTGGGGGTAGGGCAGAGGTTGAAGGCAACACGGAAGTTCTGCAACGTATCACACTTGTGAGTAGGGCTGGCTGGGGCTTGATTATGTTGTGGATGGGGTAGTGGTGGCATGGGGCCATGGATGCAGACCCACCCTCCCAGTCCTGGAGGCTCAGTGTGCTTGGAGGGAGGATCTTCAACCAGAGGAAAATATTGGTACTCTCAGAGGTGTACTCTCTGGAGTAGGCTTTCTGCAAGAAGTGATAGGAACTGTCCTGAGGATGAGCATGGGAGGAAGGCACCCTGCAATGGTGAAGGAAAGGGAATCCTAGGCATCTACAATCACTACAAGCCCTACTCCTGCACACACCTGGAGAGTACTTCCCCTACACCTTGTTCCAGGACCCTGCTGGCAAGGCCCCAACCTTATCGTGAGATACAGAGATGAAGGACACTCAGTCCCCAAAGTCAGTGCTCAGTGCACGACGCCTGCCGCACCCGCAGTGCTAGCAAACAGGACAAATGGGAACCTGTTGCCACCCCCGCACTGCAGGGTTTGGTGCAGCCACCCCCCCACCTCCAGCCCCCACTCAGGTCCCGGCAGTGTCTGCTTGCGCGCTGGCCCCGCCCCTCGCCTGCTTCTCGAAGCCTCCAGGGTTGGGGGAGGCCGCCGCACTGGGGGCCTCATCTGGCTCCCTTAGGCGGGTAGAGTCAGGAGACACTCGCGCGACTTGCCGCAGGGTGAGCACTGAGCCCGCAGCTGCCCTCGCTGGGCGCCCTAGAGCCTCCGACCGGCCGGGCCAACGCCCCCCAGCAGGCCCAGCGCATGCCACGGGCTCTCTCAGGTCCCCCAAGACGCCCAAGATCGGCACTGCCCCCAGCAAAATGCAGGATTCCCACCTGGCCTAGTAGTAGGATTTCAGCTGTCACAGCTGGGTCACATGGCCAGGAGCGCAACTCCCAGAGACAGTGATTCTACCAAATCCAGTGTCTTTTCCAGAAAACCCACTTTCCACTGTGAATGGCTTTATGCTTTTCCTGGTCCGGCTCCTCGCCGGACTGGGAGTTCCTCCAAGGCAGGAACGGGTGTGTGCTTCGTCCCAAGCTGGCCCCAGCCCCCCAGTGAGGGCCTGGGACACGCGCTGGTCGCTCGCAGAAGAAATGCTTGTTAACAAAGAAGGCATGAATGAATGAAACCAATTGTTGCCTGGGGGAGCCCAGGAGGGTGCTGCTCATGCCTTTTCCTTCTACCGAGCACACACTCCTCCCAGACACGCACAAGCACACGTGCACACACAGCACTCCTCATAGCATACACGCAGTCTGGGACACAAAAAGTGCATGCAGACTTCAATCCTTAAGGAAGCAACCCACTATACGCAGGACCCTTTTGGTCCCAGAGCCTCCTCCATTTCAGTGCCTGCCTCTCCTGTCCTTTCACCCCCACTCTTGCCCCCCGCAGCCCCTTGCCTCCACATCTAAGTACTATACCTTGGGCCTCAATTGCCTTCTTTATCTCTTAGAGAAGAAGAGGTCAAGTCAGTCCCTGGGGAATCTCAAGGTCTTTTAAGGAGGAATCTGGAGGGGTGTCCCAAGCTAGTGAGCCACTGCCTGGCAGGGATGTCACCAAATGCTGCAGCCTTTAGAGTCTGTGTGCCAGGTGTTGGGGGTGGTGGTGGGAGGAACTCAGAGACATGTAGGGGGTGTTCAGGGCTATTTGCGACGGGGGCAGGGCAGGATGCTGAAGATCTAGCAATCTAGCAGGTGTTCCTGTATGTTAGGGTGGTGGGGATGCTGTAGGTGTCTGCCTGGGGAATAGGGAGTATCGGCTGCTGGAGTGTGCATTTGTGTTATAGTGTGTGGATAACAGTGTCTCTGGACTGTGGGGACACGGGTGGGTGTCTGTAATGGGCATATGGGAAGTTTGTAGGGGCATAGTTGTGTGTGTGTGTGTGTGTGTGTGTGTGTGTGTGTGTGTGAGAGAGAGAGAGAGAGAGAGAGAGAGAGCAAGCGAGAGAGCGAGCGCTATGTTAGTGCAGACATCAGGATGTGTTGGCACTGTGTCAGCACCTGGGTGTACTGGGGCGTGGCAGGGTCTGGGATGGTGTTGGTATGAGTTGGGGATAGTGGTGAGTAGTGAGGCAGGGGGCTGCTGGTATGTACAGTACAGGAACCTGTGCTCTCACGACTGTGCAGCCGGTGGAAATGGCAGGGTACATGGAAGGTGCGCGGGCAGGGTGGCAGGGGTGTGTAGTGATAGGACCTAATGGGTCTTGTAGATTCTTGTTCCCCAGCATGCCTCGGGGCCTTTGGGATATGTTTGGCAGGACTTTGGGGGTCCAAGGTAGAGGAACGCACTTGGGGATAGGCAGCCAGGAGGTGTGGGGGTGGGGTGGGGCTCCGCGTGTTCTGCTCACCTCTGCTAGCCTCAGATTGATCCCTGGCTCTGTGCGTCGTGGCCAGGAAGTTTCCGTAGCTCGGCAGTGAGAAGCGCTGCTGCCACCAGCAAATGCCACCAGACCTCCGGGCTGCGGCCTC